CTGAACTGGGGGGGGCCTAGTGCCATAGATGTGCATGGTGCAGGTACATTGTCGTTATGCCCTGTGTAAAGGTCCTGTATATCAGGGCAATCAACTCAGCTAGAATTCAGGCTATGATTTCGGCATGGTATTCATGGGATCCACAAATCTGAGGAAACTCCATGACCCCGTGCAGTGGCGGCTCCTGGCCAGCAAGGCTGGGCCAGGCTCCTACCAATGGACATTGTGACCTGGCTGGCTCACATGGTCTCAGCCTCACTCAGCTTTGGCATATCTGCCCCTCAGTTTTCTTCTAAAAAGCAGGGGACGCACCAAACCTGAGTGGCACTGTGAGCATATGGGCCAGGTCGCAATGCTTGGAGCTGGACCCAGCCCCCCGGGACAGGAGGTGCCCCTGCAGGGTGAGTGTAGGGTGGTCTCGCTCTCCAACCCCCGCATCTTTCCCCTACTCCCTCTCTTTCTTATGGCTGTTTTCCTGTATTTATGACAAATTTTCACGATAAAACCATAGCCTTAACTGTAATTGTTAAAGAAATTTAGCCAAATTGTGATGGAAGCACCTAAATCACTTAGGAGCCTAAGTCTTATTTTCAAAAATGGTTTAGGTACTTGGAAGACCAAGTACCATTGATTTATTTTTCAGCGGTATCTAGGGTTCTCAGAACCACATTTTCAAAGATATTTAGGTGCTTAAAGATCCAGGTAGGCGACTAGCAGGGTTTTCAGAATCAGTGGGAGTTAGATGCCTAAGTCATTTAGGCATGTTTGAAAATTTATCCTAAAGACTATTGCCCCCAGTCACACACAACGGATATACATTCATTTTGCATTTAATCTTCTCCAGTGCAAGTCTATTAAAATCCAAGACAAAGAAAAAGCTGTCTAATTGTTTTGATTGATATTTATTTCTACATTGTTTTATAAGAAAGCAAATTGAAACTGGTCTTAAAAAAACCACAGACTACAGGACAAAGAGCCGTGTTTGCTGCAAAGAAGCAATGGTTTAAAAAAAGATCAAAACCTGTTTGCGCAGATAATTAAACTTGCTTTTGTGGTCAGTTTCTACCCACTTATTTTGACGCTTTTGTTTTGTTTGTTCACTGAGCAAAGAGCTGGGGCGGATTTCTTCTTTTCAGTTCTATCCCCCTGCTTTTGGTTACCAAGGAAGTGTAAACTGCTCCCCCCCACCCCAATTCCTCTGTAGCCAGTGGATGGTTAGAGCAAAAGTGAAGCAGAGCAGTCGAACTAACCACAAAAACTGAAATTTACCTTTCAGCAGTGTGAAACAAATGAAATGTCATGGCACAAACCAGAGACGTTGAGAAAATATGTCAGTCGATAATTATCAACAAGACAATGTTAATAATTAGCTCTATCCAGTAGGCAGTTTTGGACTGAGACTCGGGAGAGTTGTCTCTGCTGTGGGGTGATTCTGGGCAAGTCAATGGCCCTCTCTGTTTCCCCATCTGTACAATGGGGATGATGATATTAACCTCCTTTGTAAAGCAAGTTGGATCTACTCATGATAAGATCGGAATTATTATGATTATAAATGAGGAGTGGAACAACTTGCTGCATGAAGCGTTTGCAGTGCACCCATGATGCCCCTTGGAGCCCCACAGACTCTGGGCTGACAAGGCCAGATCCCGCGTTCCTGGTGCACCCAGCACTATCTCACCCAAATCAATGGGAGTTTGGGGTGGGCAAAAATGCAGGATCTGAACTGCACAGTTTGGAGGAAGGTGACAAAGCTTGAGTTGTTCTGGAGTCTGGAAATCCAGCCACAGGGATTTCCTGGTCTCGTTTCTCAAGTGATCCACATTGTGAGCATTCAGGATTCACTTCAAGTCCTCCAAGGGCCAGATCCCCAACTAGTGTAAATCAGCATCAGTTCATTAGCTTCAGTGGAGCGATGCTGATTTACACCAGCTGAGAATCTGGTCCCAAATTACCGTTCAGTATCACGTTGTCAAGCAATAAGGCACAGCGATGGGTAAAATACTGAGGCAGCAGGGAGAAGCCCGTTTCTCAGCTGTTCATCACCCACGGCTGGGGCCACACTTCCCAGCTCCCATTTAGGGGACATCTACACTGCAGCTGGGAGGGTAGCGGCTCAATGTAGTGCACTGAAAGGTTGCGGTTTGGCCACATGACTCTGGGGTTTATTACTGTACCGATTCATACATGAGCTTCTTGACATTCGGCAACGGATCCACACTGATTGTAGGAGGTAAGGAAACAATTGGATGATTAGGAAAGAAATGGAATGACAATGCTGACATATTTCATGTGCATGTTAAAATATAAAAAGATGGTTTGACTGCTTATCAAAGATTCCATTGTTAAAAGACAGACTGTTTGGAACCAAAAAAGAGCAAGTAAACAGTAATTGCTGAAAGAAGAGAAAAAAAAAATATATTTTGCGCAATTAAAACTAGAAAAATAGTGAAAATGATCTCTTGAAAATGTTCTGACTTATTCCTGGTCAGGGCACACGCTAGGAATATTTTTAATCTAAGAAGAAAAGGAGTACTTGTGGCACCTTAGAGACTAACCAATTTATTTGAGCATGAGCTTTCGTGAGCTACAGCTCACTTCATCGGATGCATGCCGTGGAAACTGCAGCAGACTTTATTTATACACAGAGAATATGAAAACATCATGAAAAAAAATATGAAAAAAATCACCAGCAGGAGAGTGAATTTGTGTGGGGGGGTGGAGGGTGAGAAAACCTGGATTTGTGCTGGAAATGGCCCACCTGATGATCACTTTAGATAAGCTATTACCAGCAGGACAGTGGGGTGGGAGGAGGTATTTTTTCATATTCTCTGTGTATAAATAAAGTCTACTGCAGTTTCCATGGCATGCATCCGATGAAGTGAGCTGTAGCTCACGAAAGCTCATGCTCAAATAAATTGGTTAGTCTCTAAGGTGCCACAAGTACTCCTTTTCTTTTTGCGAATACAGACTAACACGGCTGTTACTCTGAAACCTGTAATCTAAGAGTCATGTTTAAATGAAAGAACGTCTTGAAATTAGGAAATGTTCTTAGACTGCATCAGTTTTTAGATAGCACAGAATTTCTAAGTGCAAATATCTGTTTAGTTTGGGCGCGATTTGATTTTTCAGATTCTTCGTATTTTCTTATTTATACAACGTATTTTTCCTTTGAGCTACTTTCATCTTGTACGTTTAACCCCCTGAATCAAACTGCAGCTCAGCTGAGCCTCAGACTGAACTCTGTGCTTTCTGCTCAGACAGTTACACCAGCAGCAGTTGGGTGCTGACTCTGGCTCCATCTCCCCATGGCCTCCTCTCCCCCGGGACGGCTGATCTGGCTTGCGTGGTCCATGGAGTTTCCAACCCAGTCCAAATTTCCTGGAGTTTTTCTGGGGATCTGCAGGAACATGGGCTGATGCATTCACTGAAAGCAAAGGATGGCTCCTTCGTGTTCATAAATCACATTAGCGTCCCGGTGGACACCTGGACCAGTGGGAAGATTTTCACCTGTGATGTTAAATTCAACTCTTCTGGAAAGAGTGTTAAGAAAATTGCCAGATATATTGAAGGTGAGTCATTTTATATTCGCTTCTGGGGTAGAGGGGAGTCAGATCAATAGCTCAGTGAGGGCCTGGTCCATGACTGGGACTCCAAGGCGCTATGATGATTAGGATGGTAATTAGACATGCAAAGTGTCCATGGTCAGAGCTACTTTAATGCAATTTGCAATTAGAGAAAGTTGTGAAATGCTGGATAATGTGTAGGAGCAGGCAGATCTGCAGAGAACTTTGGGAAAGGAGGAAAGGGGAATTGCACTGCTCACAGACAGTGATTTTCAATAGAAACTGTCATGCCAACTGTACCTGCAAAGCACCCTAAATGAGGACCAGTGTCAGAGGGAGAAGGGAACAGAGGCACTTGAGGGTGGAGAGAGCTGTTTCCTGATGAGATGTGGAGAGGTGATGAGGTGAGGAGAGACCTACAGGGAGGATTTTGTAGATGGCAGAAGGTGCAGAGAAGATTCTGATTCCTGGAGAAATCATCAGCCTAATGAAATGGGCACAACAGAGGGTGAAAGGTGCTGAAGGCTCCTGTATCCTCACTTCTCAGGGGTTAAGGCCCGTGGTGAAATGGGGATCAGGAGAGAAGAGCTGGATGTGGTGGCATCAGAACCAGAGGCGGATTAAGATTTCATGGGGCCCTGGACCAGAGCAAGTGGGGGGGCCCCTCCCCATCTCTTCTGCCTGCAGTCCTGCCCCATCTGCCTGTGACCCCGGCCACAGCCCCACCCCCCATTCTTCCTCTTCCATTGCAGCCCACCCAATTCCACCCACAGTCTGTCCCACCCAGCCTGGTGCTACTGATTGGGAGGAGGGTTGGGGAATGGGGACTTGCCCCACCCCACCCACCTGCCCAGCGCTCCCATCAGGGCATGGGGAGCCCATTTTTCTGGGAGCCCCCAATTGGCCCCCACTGGGCAACTTGACCCTTTTTACATGAGTCAGCTACTTATGTCTGGTTTTTTTTGCTTCCTCCACAGCCCCTGCCAGCAAGTGCTCACATTACATTGTGCCCCTTGCGGCTGGAGCTGGTCTGCTGCTGCTGGTGGTGTCTCTGAGCCTCGTCCGGACCCTCTGCCCTTCCACGCTAGGTAATAAACACAGCCCAGCCCAGACACTCCCCCACTGAGAGAAATCCTGCTCCCCTGCTTGCTACTGGGGACTGCAACTGTCCCGTCCAACACATGAACACGCTGCAAATGTCACAACTGCCAGCACTGATCTCCGAATGTTTGTTTTCCGAAACTTGAATTTCCTGTGTCGGGAGAACGGCTTTGTTCTCCGTGACAAAGGGAGCGATGTGGAAAGGCTTCTACTGCCCCTGGCCCAGGCACCTTGTCTATAGTTCACAAAGAGCACTAGCCTTTCTGATGAGCCTCTATCCACGTGCCATCATGGAGGTGCCCTGCGCACCCACAGCTCAGATGCACCATTAGTCAGTGAACTGCAGCTGGGGGGTGACCGTGGAAGAGGAACTTTGACTGTTGTCTTTGTTTGTTCCAGGATTCCAGCCCAGGGTCTCAGCACCCCCAGCTTCCGAGGAGCCCCAGGTACGGCTCTTTGCAAACTGTCTCTGTCTAAATCAATGTGTCTGCCTTCAACTTCATGTATTCATATATTTGGCACTTAAACTGATCATTCTGGAAGGAGAAGGTGAAAGTGAGGTTTAGCTCTTGGAGTAGCAGACGAGGACCAAAGAGTCTTATTAGCTTTGCTGCTAATTAACTATGGGATAGTAGGTAAAGCACTTACTGCCCTGTGACTGTTTCCCCGTATGTAAAAAGTGGATAACAAAACTTACTGTACAAGGATGATGGGAAGTTTGATGTTTCATTGGTTCTGACCTTGCCTGTTCCAGGGTTTCTGTGGAGCTGGGAACATTTTTGCCACTTAAAAGATAAAGAGCTATGAAAAATTATATTTGTAAAGCACATGAAGATTTTCCTGTGAAAGGTGTTAGGGACCTGATCCAAAGCTCACTGATTGTCCGTTTATATGGGGTTTGGATCTGACAAAGTATTGGCAGTAGCTGAGTTCTTAAATTCAAAATCCAGCGCGGGTTTCCATTCTGATAACACGCACAGTTAATAGGACAAGCAGGAGAATAAGAGATGAGAGGGAATATTTCATCAGGCTAAACTCACTTGGATGTTCAGTGCTGTCTCAGCTTGTATCTCTTCATTTCACAAGGAGGGGGCTAATTTTACTAATTGTCACCAAACAGGATGGAATCTTATACACTCATCTGGATTTTGATTTGCGGAGTCGTGACAGGAGCACGATGCAGTGATCGGCCAGAGGGAAAAGCATAAAACCCTGAATTGTCTAGTCCAGGGGAATCTGCAAGCGGTAACTGATGTCTGCTTCTCTGCTGATCTGACGTAGCAGCTGGAAGAAGGCTCTGTCTGTCTTAGTCACCTTTTTTACTTATTTTCTCTCCTTCTCTGTTTAGAAATAAAAAGTCAGAAGACCCCCACAGAGTCCAGCCTCATCAGGTGGGAAATCTCCTTTTGGGATATAAAGACATCGTGGTGTAGATGACTTTAGACGTCACTTGTGTATTAGATTGGAAGCTCTTTGGGGCAGGGACTGTCTCTTTGTTCTGAGTTTGTGCAGCGCCTAGCACAACGAGGCCTGGTCCATAACTGGGGCTCCTGCGTGTTATGGTAACACAATAATTGTCATCATCATCCTCCCCCATGTGCAGAGGGACCCGGACACAGCTGAACGGCTCCAGCTTACCTGCATAGAGTGAGACCGGAGGGCAGGAGCCTGCAGAGGGGATGTGCAGTCCCAGCATACATCAGAGCTCCCAGCTTCCCTAATCTCCTTCCCCAGCGGGCACATGCTCCCTTTGCAGTAACACTACATGGACGTGCCGTGGGATTGGGAAGGGGAAGGATGGATGCGGGAGGAGCTGGGATGGAAGAGAATCTCTCCCCAGGCCAGGGCTGGAGCTGCTACCCCAGTGCTGCCTTAGCAGGCTGCTGCTTCCCCCTGGGAGCAAGATCCACAGCCCCTCTGCGCCACCTAACAATAACAACACGTTATCGGAGACTGGAGCTCTCCTGGTGCCTGAACCTGCACGCGCTGCCTGTTTGCATCACAAGATGCTGTTCAAGCTGTCGTTCGAACTGTCTCTCATTAAAAAGAGACGGCAACCCCATTGGTGATGTTTACGTTGCCTTTTTTACCTGTTCAATGCATCAAGTTCAGCTCATTGTGTAATAAGAAAAGGTGACCTCTTAAATCTTTTGGGCCAGATTCTGCTCTGTTTTCCAGTAGTGTAAATCTGGAGGAGCTCTGTTGCAGTCAGTGGAGTTACTCCAGTTTTACACCAGTATCTCTGAGAGCAGAATCTGGCCCTTTCTAGCCCATTTCGTATCTGTTTCTTTTGAAGGATGATACAACCAATGTGTTACACACCCCTTGTTACACACAAAGCTCTTCACATATGGTAAGGGCTGTTTCAAAGAGGATGGTGATCAATTGTTCTCCATGTCTGCTAAAGGCAGGACAAGAAGTTATGGGCTTAATCTGTAGCAAGGGAGATTTAGGTTAAATGTTAGGAAAATCTTTCCAACTCTAAGGGGAGTTCAGCTCTGGAACAGGCTTCCAAGGGAGGCTGTGAAATCCCCGTCACTGGAGGTTTTTAAGAACAGGCTGGATAAACACCTGTTGGGGATGATCTAGGTTTACTTGGTCCCCCCTCAGCACTGGGGGCTGGACTTGATGACTTTTCGAGGTCCCTTCTAGCCTGACGTTTCTGTGAATGCAAATAAAAATGAATGAATAAGGGCCTGAATCTGGTCCCATGCATACCCGGAGTAACCTGACCTCTCTGAAGTCAATCGGGCTGCAAAGGGGTCCGTATTTCAGTTGAAACTTAAACCTGAGGGCTGGACTGAATGGTGATTTGAACTCCCTGGCAATCCCATGAATCTTTCTGAAAGATGAGAGCAGCTGGCTCTAGTGACCTGGCCACCTTCCGATTTGGGTAATTTCAAGGGTTGGTTGGCTAGAAAATGATTTTTGGTTCAATAAAATGTTTGAGATTTTGACTTTTCGTCCCAGTTTGACACAGGAAAATTTTTCAATATCTTGAAAATTTGTGTGGGAAATCCATTTTCTGCCCCAGCCCTGGTAATTACGTGAGTGTAAAATTGCTTCTCTAGCTGCAGTTGGCTACATTGCTCCTTTTCACTTCCTGCCCTAAGCCACTGTGCAGTGCTGTGGGGCTGTCAAACAGCTGCCCCGCTCCACCCCACAGTGGATGAAGAGATTTCCATACACAGCATAAGGGCCCAATCCTGCATGGTGCTGACTCTGCTGAGGCACTTCCTGTGACATGCTGGGCACCCGCAAAACTGAGCAAAGTCCAGAGGAGTGGTGGGTGCTCAGCTGCTTTTAGGATCAGCTCCTGCCTTCAGTTCCTTAAAGCACTGCACATTATGACACATTGTCACTGGGATCCTTATGGCAGTAAATAGGGCTTTGTGCCATTGTCAATCAGTGTTATTCGGAGGGTTGTACTTACAAGAACCGGGCTAGGGAGACATTGTGCTTGAATAGCGTTATGGTTTCTATTGGTCTTATCTGTACTACCTCTGACAACATTCAGCACCTTAACAGCGAGCCTGGGGACCTGATTCTCATAGGCACAAAGCCCCTTTCCACCATGGTAACACACAGGGGCCTGGAAGTGGGTGTGAGTGTAATTTCTGCTCCTCTAAACTCCTCCTTACATTGGTGCAAAGGGGAAGCTGTGTAACTGTGAGTAATGCCCTTGGGCTAGAAATCAGGCAGAATTTTGGCCAAACTCCTGCTTCCACTTAACACTGCCTCAGTCAGGGACTGCAGGATTTAGCCCAGGTCATTCCCCAACCATGTGGGGGAGGAAGGCAGGGGAGGGTAGAAGGGAAGGAAGGAAGGACGATGGTCCCCAGCTTTAGAGAGCTGCCTGGAAGGAGTTTGTGACAGATGGATCCAGGGGAGCTGCAGCCATTCAGTACAGCCTCAGAAGTGGGGTGTGGTCTAAGGAGATGTGGCCAAGTCACCTAGAGAATCTGTTCTTTTTTGAGCCAGTCGCTCTGATCACTACCCCAGGTTGCCCTCTATTATCAGCTGTTTCACAAGGGACACTGACAGATGCACTTTACTTCCTTCTCCCCTCTTTGTGCAGCCAGACGCAGCTTTCTAACCAGCCCCGTTCAGTTCATTTTTAGCCAGTTCATTGCTAGCTCCAAGATGAGGCCCTTCACTTCAGTAGGATTGAGGCGCCTAACCCTGTTAGCCGTGTTTGAAAATCCCACTAGGTGCCTCTCTGCATCTATAAGCACCCAAATACTTCTGAAAATCTGGCCCTAAGTCTCTTGAAAAAGGGACTTGGGCACTTTTGAAAATTGTATCCTTCATTGTCTCATTTCTCACACATGCCAGAGCTTCAGTTTGATGATTTAAAATGCAATTAAAGTCTTCCAAGACAAGACTCCAAATGATTGTTTCAGGCCAGCATTGTACCACCAAGAAATATGGGATAATTATGGACTAATCTTGAATGCAGAGAAATTCTGTACCTTCTGTAGATTCTTTAACCCACCCCTCTAGTATCTATCACCACAGCACATCTCCTCAGAGGCATTCCTCACCGGAAATGACCAAGACACTGTACCCAGTCACTGCAGCAGTGCACTAGAGATCAGCCTTTGGGCTAGTGAGTCGGGATTTTCTTTTCCTTTTTTTTTTTTTACAAAAATGATCTTTGCCAAGTACCTGGTTTTATCTTCTTTAGGTAAAACATCCGCATTAAGCTTTGGAATTGGGAAAACAGCCTCTTCAGTGGGACATCAGTGTTGAATATCTGATATGTTTGGAAACTTCTGCTGGATATAAATTGCATTTCCATTTAGTTGTACATAGTTATAGAAAGTTTATTTAGCAGAGCATAAATATTATCAGACTAAGTATATGCTGTTCCTGAACTAGCCAGTTTATCTAAGGCAGTTGGAGACTTGATGGAAACTGACTAAAAATATTTTATTTCTCCAGTGCTAGGAGTGCAGTTATTTCTGTACCAGACTCAGCAGATCCAGTTTGTTGAAGTTAATGGCAGTGCAGAGATCCACTGTTCTTCCAAAGAAAAAATGGAAGGAGACGACATGTTTTGGTATTTGAGAAGAGAAGGAGAGAAACCCATATGCATTAAGTACTGTTTGGATAATCTAAATGTAAGTAAATTTGCTTGCAAACATGAGAGACACAGCTCGACACTGGAAATCAACAACATCCAAAAGAATGAGACTGGCGTTTACTACTGTGCATTTATATACACTAGCTACCTGATTTTTGGAAATGGATCCACACTGATTGTTGGAGGTAAGATACCATAGCTTGTTTAAGGAGACTAATGATTGCTTGACAAAACATATTTCATGTTCCTATTAAAATGTAACAAGATACCATAGCTACTGAGGAACAGTTAAAAGAAAAGCTTACTTTAGACCATAAAGATCAGCTGAACATTAAATGCTATGGACAGAGAAGGAGCATATTAGGCGTATATTTCATAACTAGAAAACTTCACGTTTGAAAAAGTTGAAAATAAACCTTCGCAGTTTCTCTGTGACTATTCAAGGCACTTAGGTTTGCAATATTTCTAACCTAAGAGCCATGACTGCATGAAACAATATTTGGAGTTAATGAAATGGTCTTAAGAGTGCATCTCTTTATAAAATTGCACATAATTTTCTTTTAGCAGGTGTGGATATTTATTGCGCTATTTCCTAGTTGGTGTTGGCATGGTGATTTAATACTTCCTTCTTCAACAGATTTTTTTAAAATTAATGTCTTAGTGAAAGATTTATCCACTCATCTTGTAGCTGTGTTGGTCCTAAGATATATAATAGAGACAAGGTGGGTGAGATAAAATATTTTATTGGACAAGCTTTTGAACTTACACAGAGCTCTCCTGTAGATCTGGGAAATTACACTGTGAATGTATTTCCCAGACCTGAAGAAGAGCTCTGTGGAAGCTTGAAAGCTTGTCTCTCTCACCAACAGAAGTTGGTCCCATGAAAGATTTTACATCACGCACCTTGTGTCTGAGTGAAAGGTTAACATCTTTAATCAGACTGCAGTTCATCTGACTATCACACTGAATTCGCCACCTTCTTTTGCTCAGACAGTTATACAAACAGCAGCTGGGTGATGCTTCTGGTCCCATTTCCACATGGTAGTCAAGTCACTGGGACAGCAAATCTGGCCTGTGTGATCCATGGAGTGTCCAACCCAGTCCATGTTTCCTGGAGCGTTTCTGGGGAGCTGCAGGAACAGGGGCTGATGCGCTCATTGAAAGCAAAGGATGGATTGTTAACACTCATAAATCACATCAGTGTCCCCATGGACACCTGGACCAGTGGGAAGATTTTCATGTGTGAAGTCAAATTCAACTCTTCTGGCAAGAGTGTGAAGAAAAGCACCAGGTATCCTGCAGGTG